CCCTATAATATTTATTTCTATATGCCATTTCTTTGCTTAAAGCATCTCAAGAGTGTCTTCGCAATCAATGTAGGTGCCCTTGGCCTGTACCTATTCTCTGGTTTCATTTTCCTCCATTTATGGGTAAAATGCTACACTCTGTCAATCACAACCTGTGCACAGGAGTGCCCGTACAAACCATACTGTCTCTCACACCCATGCCTTTCCCATGTTCTCTTACCTAGAAATTGTTCGCAACGCTTAAAAACAAGAATCGGAGTGATACTTATTCCTACTTTAGAATCCATTAATTGCCCAGCCATTTGTATGTGTGCTAATATCCTGTGCTTATAGTTCACTTCGCAATACCTGCACATGCAAGAGTGTTTGCGCACATACACCTGGTGTTTATCTGATGCTCGGTGATATTTGTTGAATGGTTTAATTAATGCTTTCTAAATATACAGGGAAACTGAGGATTCCAGGGATTAATTATCATGGTTACTTATACAAAATGTCAAAGAGTAGATCAGCAAATCTACTCTCTCTTCATATCAGAAAGCTAAGTCTGGCGATTCTAGTTTAGAAGAGAAATAACTCAAGGTTGGGAAAGCTGAGCAGCCATCTCAAAGTTTGATAGCTAGTCAGTAGCTGAGTTCTGATTCAGTGACAAGGCCCACGCTTCTTTCACCCGTGCTGAGGGGACTGGCTATAAATGGAGCTATGATGTCATGAGAAGTCACCTGTATTTTTCAACATATAAGTTAATCTATTTGGTTATTTTCATCAAACATAATTTAACAATTTTATGATAGGAAGAAACACTAAGTAAAAGCATCATAAACTTTGAATATCTCAAAGTGTGAGCTTTTCATTATTTTCCAAATTTCCTCCCACAAATATTTCTAAACTACAAATAGATGAAAAGTTCTGAGTTAAAAATTATGATAGCCTGAATGTGAATAGACATGATTCTTGTTTTCAAGGACATTGTGAAAGTCTAATTGTGAAAGTCAACATGTAAAATCCAGGGTATGACAAATGCCATTGTAAAATTGTAAAAAAAGTAAAAAGCTGACTAAGGGAGTCTGTGCTGGCTGATTAGGGTCATGGCCATTCATGTTTATAGAATATTTCTTTTAGAAAAAGAGAAACCTCAAATTAAAAGCTGTGTATATATGTATATGGTACTTCTATAATTGGTTGTCAATTTGAGAGGGTTAAGAGTAATAGGTGGAATCTAGCCTGTCAATCAGGTCATAGCAAATGAGGCCTCTGTGTGGGCATGACCTCCTGAGAATTCTGGTAACTCCTGTATTCCTCTTTGGAGGTGGAAGACACATTCTCTCTCTGCTTACTCCTTGGGAGATACTCTACTGACAAGATGCATGGAATTACACTAGTGCCCTGACCTGCAGAAGCCACCTGGAGACCCCTGCCAGTGTGAGATGCTGTCACCACCACTGGGCCCACAAGACTTCCTACCCACTGGCCTGTGATCTTCCTGCATTCAGCATAATTGCATGTGTTTCATGAGTCTGAAGAGGACTTTAAAGATTGATATTGGACATATAGGCTAATATCAGACTTATGGGCTTGGAACGGATTGGGCTGGGATATTTTCTCAATATTCAATTGCTCTTGTATATAAAGCTCTTTG